GATCAAATATTGGAGGAAGATACAGATTCAGATCTTCATGTACTAGCATCTGTGACAATACTTGCATTCCTCCGTTAAGGATGAGATTGTTCCCCCCGCTTGTGAATAATGTATTTTCACTGTAAAAAATTCCTAATAAAAACCATTCAATCTCTTTATCTTCATTTGAAAATCAACCCTAGAAAAAATCATTCCAAAACAGGCATTGTTTAGTCATCCAAATGTGTCACGCCCCGACCTGCGAATAAGGACAATTCCCGAGTTAGGATGTGAGCCATATCTTAGCTATAGAAATAAATCCTACAACTAATAGATGGTGGAAAATAAAATTAAATTACAACGATTACACCGTGCATCATATAACAAAATCTTACATAAAATTTATAGAATACACAGTGGAATAAGAATAGTGCACAAATTAATTTACAACAAAAACTACCAATTAAATAATAATTAAATTGTAACAATTCTTTCAAATACATGAATTATATGCAAATGAGATGGATGAATGCACTCACTCCCTTCTAATCCCGCTAACACATACCTAAGGCACCCAAGCATGCACGTCCCATACCATGCTTATATCACTTGGCTCCAAATACCTTAGAATATGAGTTAAATTCCCGTTCCTCCCTTAAGCCCAATTTTCAGAATTAAAGTCTCATTTTCCACTTTATTATACATGCACTTTTCTCGACGTCCAATTGTATATTCAAGTCCTTCTCCCGATGCCTGCCATATACAAGATTTCATTATTTCATATTCAAGGCATTCTCCAGCCCTTGAATATCTCCACAAAACAAACACTCAACAAAAGTGAGCACTTGACCAAACACACACCTCTTTTTCTTGCTTTGCAGTGCATATGTATACATAAAAATTAATAATCGCTTACTCACCATATATAAATATTAGCATAGATCAAACTAATTAGTAACCAATGTAATAATATTTGATACTATCATTTAAAATATTGATCATTTACCACTCTAGAATTACCGTCGTCTTGTTTACTTTTGTCTAGCTGGTACCTGTTATTATTTAGACAAGAATTAGACATCCATGTTAGTGAAGAAAATCGAAAATGAAATAAATGTCTCAAAAGCAACAAGGCATGAAACCTTGTTTCTGGCTTTTCCCCTTCCATACCTCATCTTTTATTTGTTATTTTCAATCCACCACTTCCTCTTTTTCTCATCTCATTTCTCTTATTTTCTCACTCACAAACTTGCTCATTTTCTTCCACCCGACTCTCCTCTTCCTTCCACCCAACACTCTACCCTTTAATGTCTTTTTATCATCTTTTGCTTCTCTTTTTCATTCCCTCGAGAACCACTACACGCTAGCCTAACCTTTTCTTTGAAATTTCCATCTCCTTTCTTTGATATAACCTGACCCCCTTCTTCCTTCTCCTCATCTCTCTCTCTCTCTCTCTCTCTCTCTCTCTCTCTCTCTCTCTCTCTAAACACCTCATCTCCTTCTCATCGTCTCAGTCTGTCAAAATTTCATAACCAAGGTGGTGATAATTGACAGGAATGGATGAGGCACATGGAGTCGTTCTCATGATAGCATAGCCACGGCATCATCCATCGTCTCATTCGTCGTGGCTGCCAGTGGTGAGTGACTGGCCAAGCATACCAGTTGTTGCATGAGAGGTGAGGTTGAGTTGATGATTTCTTCCATTCATTTGTAGTCACGTTAATTCGACTTGCCCAACTAATTTTTGATTGATTGGTGATGTGTTTTCATAGCTCTTACTTGGAGAGTAAAGAAGAAGAGAGTAAGATCTTGTAATAACAAAGTCATGCACCGAATTTAAGTGGTTCGCCAATTCGGCTACGTCCACTACATATGTATATATATTTGTATATTTGTATTTCACTATGTATGAAAGATTTACAAAATACAATGGAAATGGGTTCAAGCCTTGACATAATATGAAAGAAATGGATAGTGAAGGAGGGAGTGGTCTGAGAAAGAAGACATTCTTCTTGCTCGTGTGGTGGTGTTGTTGTTCCTCTATCTTAAATTCATTCTTCTCCTTCATTTATAGAGAGTAAATCTGATCGAAGAAGCTGTGCTGCTGGATGTTAAAGATCTTCACTTACGTCTACTCTTGCATTTCAAATCCACCTGTGGTTATCTCATTGGAGTATTTGGAATGATAGATTGAAGCATTGAAGAGAGTATATAGACAAATAATTGAAATTCCCCTAGGCTAGCGAGTAAGCACTCTAAAACAACAACATATTGCCACTTGCATGCCAATAGATACACGTACCTAGTCTATGGCCCTATATAGACTCACAACTCTCCAATGTTTAGGGGTGAATAATCACCCTACATTAACTCAACTTGCCACCTAACCATTTGTTAAAAAATATCACCCCAATTCTAGTTAGATAATCCCCACTTCAAGCTCTCAGCTTTTTGTTCCTGGTTGTGCTTCAAATTAAAGATCAATGAAGCTAGCAATGGTGATTTTCCATCAACAAGTAAAAAGAATAAGTTTAAGGCCTAACAAAATAATATTATACATATATATATAAGCTACAGAACAAAATTACAACATTATATAATGAGGATGGCAAACACTTGAAACCTCTCTAGTTGGAGAAATTTGAGTTTAAAAGTACTAGTTAGGCGGGAACGAATCAAACTTAAGTCCCACTCTTTTCTCTCCCTTTGTGAGAGTCTCTCTCCCCGTGAGAGCCTTTCAGCCTGTGTGCTGAGCTTTCTTTCAAATTTCATCTCCTCCATCGCCGCCGACCCTTGCCATGGCCTGGGTCGGTGGCTCTCAGGTTTAGTTCTCTCTGCAACTTTTCTGCCGATCGTCCCTAATCTATGCTTTAATTTTCCAAATCCTATGCCATCAATTCCAATTTCTTTCCACCATCCTTCCCATCCTCCATCTCCTAGGCTTTCCTCTAACCCATTTGATTTCAGATTTGTAGTCCTTTTCTTAAATGCGTTTTGTCGCACTTTTCTCGGAATGTGCGTAGAGCTCTGGTGCAGGTGATCTCACCACTACCTCTCATGGATCGGGAAGTGTGTTTTGCTCCGGCTCGGATGTTTACACCCCTACCTCCCATGGATTTGTTTTCAACGGCTTTGTTGCCTTCGATGACTATGTTGCTGATGAGTTTTCTCACCAGCTTCCTCTGTTTCGCTACAAAGTCGTCATCTATGGTGCTTTGTGAAGGTTGTGGGAGTCATCTTTCCATCATTTTTGTGGAGTTGCCTGGCTGGATTTCTGACGTTTTTTGGACGGAAGGTCTCCGACGGTGCATCGGCGGAAGTTGCAAGGAAGATAGGTTTTCTGTTTCTGGGCTCAAACTTTTGGTTTAGGCTTTGTTTTGGGGGTCCATATTTTGTTTTGGGCTTTTTCTTCTAGTTGGACCTCAATTTGTTGTAAAGTTTAGTGTGGTTTGGCAATAAATCTTCCGCTTTTACCAAAAAAAAGTACTAGTTAGGCTTAAATATATTCTTGCAGAAAAAAAATTCCTACTAACTTACATGCCAAAAAAAAATACGAGTTTAAAAGTACTAGTTAGGCTTTAAATAAATGGAAAACTAATGAAAAAGGCTTGAAAACTTTGAGTTTTAATGATAAGGACAAAATAAAGGGTAAAGTGAATAGTATCAGGATTGACTTTTTAATGTAAAAATGTGGTTTTTCGTTAAAGTGAACAGTACCGGGTGCTTTTCGTTAAAGTTCCCTTAAATAAAAGAAGTCCAATAAAATTATTACATTTGGAATAAAAAAAATTACTTACACACACAAACCTAAACTCGATTTCACAGACCTCACTACGGCCTATAGGTATGGCACAAATTACCTCACTTTCTACCAACACTGCTTCTTTTCTTATTATATTTTCTTTGTTTAAATAGCATGATCATACTAAAAACCTATTAATTACAAACTATTCATTACAAGTTTGTACTGGCTGTTTTCTTCTTTTACGTCCAGTGGTTTTAAGACTCGCAGCAACGCATGGGCACTATTGCTAATACATATACTATAACTACATGTCCATTAAGATCCCTAGAGGAATAGTCATTGTGATTACAACTTGTTCAAAAAACAAAGTTTATAGAAGAAACAACATCGTAAGTACAATTGTCTGCGAACAATATCATCTAAGTAAGTTTGAGCACCTTGGTCGAATGATTTTTCAAGCTCATACTCGACTCTACTCTGCTCGTTTGTAAACCCAAATCTAGATTTTGGTAGGTTGGCTCAACTCAATTTTTGAATGAGCTCGAACTTATGTTTGCCCGACTTAATAAAAATTAAAAAATAATAATAAATAACCAAAATAACAAACCATTGATATTTTGAATGTTTTCTTGGTACAATTACTTGCACATTGAAGGGGACTGCGGTTTAGGCATTAGGTCTTGAATGGTTAATCAAGATCACTTTTTGCGTGGATAATACTTGCATTCCTCTTTTAGGGGGATGTTATCATTTTGCCGCTTGTAAATAATGCGTGCATTTTTACCGTAAAAACTTTATAATCAAAAGCATTCAATCTTTTAATCTTCATTTGAAGATCATCCCACACAAATTATATGAAACAGCATTTAGTTATCCAAATGTTTTAAATAAGTCAACGGTGTAGGTATCAAATAACATATTCATACTTTTCTTGATGAGAAGGGATATCAACATCATCAGCAACACCAGCTGCAGGATCAGCAGCAAAGGACAAAGAAGAAGAAAATGTTAATGATCTGCAACACATTTGCAAGAGAGTCTTTATGTACTCCATCTCTATCTCTCTCTCTAGGCAACATGCACTAAGCAAAGACAGATAGAGCGCAAGGGAGAAGCTAGGTTGCACGGACACTCCAAAACTCTAAAGTGTCAGAGTATCGGACACTTCAACACAATTGGACACGCTCAGGACACAGTTTGGACACGATTATGACACTGCATGAGTCTTTTTGTAAATTTAAAAAACATTTTGGGACATATTTAGAAATATTGAAACTAAAACCTAAAAGTGTCCCCGACCTCAACCTAACTTCAATCCTCTTCTCTCTAATCTGGTGCCCCCCTCAGTTCTATCTCTTTTTAGTTTCTTAGCCACTTGATTCCACATCCGATGCGCAACCTCTAGCATCTAGCATGAGAATTTTGTTATATTATGAGTTCGAGGTAATGTTTTTTTAGATGTAATATTTATTATATTTTAATTGTCGTGTCCTAGTTATTTTTGTGTTTTTGTTTGGTTTTTTAAACTTGTCGTGTTGTTGTATCTGTGTCTCTGCCTATGCAACATAGGGAGGAGCGAGCAATTGCCTAAAGCCAATTCCCCAAAATCTTTCCGACCCATTCGACTTCGATTTCTCGCCATCGCGACCGAACTCCAACCAAATGGCGACGGCGGATTTTGACGATGTGGGGGTGCTCGGAGAGGTGGCGGCATCCTCTGCTGCACCAACAAGACGAAGATGTAATGGGCTTGCGATGAGAAAGTTCAAAGTGAACAAGCTCATGAGCAAATAGCAGAGGGTTCCTCTGTCCTCCAACATGCCCAGTTTTCAGTTTATGATTTGCAGAAGCTGTTTGATAATTGGATTTTGTTTGACTTTTTGAGTTTGATTTGCATGTGGCAATTGGGTAATTGGGTTTTGCTTGAATTTTTAAGTTTGGGCAATAGGATTTGCAGGAGGCAATTGCGTTTTCTTTGTTGAATTATGAGATTAGCTTTGTTCGTGATTTGCCTAAAGCCAATTCTTTCCGCCTGGAAGATTAGTTTGTTGAAAGGATAAAACATTCAAAATGATTTTTAATTTTTTTTAATATCTATGTGAGCCCATATTAACATGTGGCATTCAATCACTATCCATGTAGATGCCACATCACCAGCTAACTGCTGATTTAATAACAAACTTAACGGATGTATGAAAGTATCCCAATATTATGACTTTAGGTACCACTCTGGGATGAAAAAAAAACTTGATGCACTAAATGTTGAAAACTAAGAAACTTTAGGGTAGTAAATTGACATTCATCAATTGACCCTTTTACATAACACTTATTACCTACGAGGTTTTCAATATTTACAATTTGGTGACCAACTAGAAACTGTTGCTCGCACGTTACAGTGAGATTAAAATTATAAAAATGATTATGTTTGAAAAATATAAAAGACTGGGTCATAGAAGATTAGTATTATTTACTTTGAAAACAATAGAAAGATTTTTTTCATACAAAAGATATAATTGACATAGTCCACGTACAAAAAATCGTAGAAACTTTTGACTATCTACATAAAACAAAATAGATCAAGACGTTTTTGTGTAGTTTCTTTGGTTTTCGATCAATAGTAGAACTTATATACAAAAGATTACGAAATGTTGGGTTATTTACATGAAAAAAGTATTGGGGAATTTTGTTTGATTTACATTGAGAAAATATGATAAATGTTGTTCACCAGAGCATCAAAAGTTCCACTCCACTACTCTTGATTGTGAAAAAAGCAGCCTAGGCAAAGAAAAAAAATGAAATATTAAAATACATGCAATTAATTTATACAACAGATTTATACTATAAAGAAAATAAGAATAAAGTATGGTTACCTAGGTTTTTAGTGGAAATGAATATGGTTTATACCAGCGTTTTTTTTTAGCCGAACATAGGTTTATACCAGTTAGAGAGAACTTTTTTTTCAATGATTTAATAGGTTCTTATTTATATTAATGCATTCTAATACTTAGTAGATGATGTTAAATATTTTGGAGATGTGAATATTGAGATTTTATGTTGTTACTAAACAAACAATCTAAAAACCCAGTTAATACCCATAGACTTATCCCCTATATTCTCAAGAGGACCTAATTAATTCACTTCTTCATTCTACCTTACATGTATAACACTTTAACACTTCACAAGTAGCCTAAAACAATAGAATAATATAGGAAATGGTAGAAATCAAGCATTAATTTTGAAACCCTGAAGTAATATAAATTCGAAGACAGGGCATTAATTAATTGGTAGATTGAAGTCTAACTAGGTTGAGAGTGGAGCTTGTTCAGTTCACTTCACAAAAGTCATAGAAATCACGACTCTAAACACTCGGGTTAGTAGGGATGTCTATGAATAATGAGTAGGAAAGAAAAGGAGAGACCTAGTGATGAGTCGATATAAACAAAGTATCAAATTCAACTCCAATATAACCAAAAACTGTACAAACTCTAATTTGTTGGGCTGCAAAATCATATCTTTGCAGAGCTCTGTGTTCTTTATGACACTGTGGTGGTTCTGTTGTGTAATTAAAAACTAATTTTTATAGAATTCAGAAAAAAGTTTAAAAGAGCTTTTGGATTATCCAGAGTTCTTATAGCTGATCTTTCAATCATGTTCACTTAAAATTGGAGTTTGAGTACAGAACATTAGGTGATGACAAATTAGGTGATCAACACAATATCATCAAACCTTAAGAATAAGAAAGAAACTCTAGAGCTCTTTAAGAATATGAACCAAGGCACGAAACTAATGATAAGAGTATATCTTATGTAGTCAGTTGTTCGGATGTAATAATCTATAAAGCTGGGCATTCAACTTTATCTCGTTTGAATGAGGATATTCTTTTACTTGTGAGTCATTTATAACCTCATCTAACAGTTACTAACCAATGTAATAAAACTCTCTGTCCTGATTATAAACACCTCAGGTTCAGTTACATGACTTTATCCTCTTCACTATACAAGGCGACTATACATACAGTGACATTATGCCTATTCACATTTTATTCACGTTCACATTCGCTCACAACGTAAGTGAGCATAGGTATCATGCAGTGACATTACTAGGATAATACTTGGGTCAGGACCCAACATACTAAATTTTTAAGGTGGACCAATAATATTGAAATAACTGGCACATCAAGCAAATTTTCATTAGGCTCAAAACGTATGTACTTCCGTAGGTGCATGTATAAAGTCGTACAAACACACATGCACACGTGCATAATTGTGTAAGTACAGAGGAATCGGGGAAGCTTTCAGCATATCTTTGAACTACTCCTTGGTATTGGAGCATCAGAAACACAATTCTCTGAACCCAAACAAAACCCTTAATCAATTTCAAAAGTTTATCAACACAAAATCGAGGTAAAATCTCAAATGCAAAATAGATATAAAAACTTGCAAGCAATTGTTGTAGGATGCTTCCAAAGAAATCGTTTGGTGGTGATTTGCAGCCGCATCATGCAATTGATCAGATTGACTCTATCTGAGATATGAAATCGAGGATATTTTTATTTTTATTCTTTTATATCAAACGATATTATTTATATTAAGAAGTGGAAAAGTGGGGTTATGCTTTACAGTGGGCTAAGCCCCCATAAATTCTATTTCTATTAAAATGAAAAGAAATACTCCCAATGCTACTCACCAAGGTGCAAAACCATCAGCAGGCATCTTTGCATCGTCAAATCCCCATATCTTTATAGTAACATGATCACTGCAAAATCAGTACATTGTCATTTTAGGTCATGATCAAATGCAAACTCGAGATAAAAACTTCAATTTCTGTTTGGGTGAATTACAATAACACCCCATACAGTTGATCGTGTTTTCACAAAACCCCATCACGTTTGAAACATAATACTAACACTCATTGAGGCTCTAATTTACTTTCACATAACCCCTCTAGGGGTGACATTTGTCACAGCTCGTCCCGAATTATTTTGTTGTCAGTGTGAAATGACTAAAGTACCCTTGAACGTTTGTGGTGTGGTGTGGTTTAGGTTTTGGTTGTGGACCTATATGTTAAGTCCCTAAGTTTTTGGACCCAACTAGAACTAAATTTTTCCTAGTTTTGGTTGGTGACAAACTGGACCACACACTCACACACACACCTTACCCGTTAACCTCTCTCTCTCTCATCCCTCTCTCGGATTTTCTTACCATTTCCGTACAACCTGTACGGACAACCCTCAAAACCCTTTCAACTTCACGAATCAAGGTTGTGATTGCTGTTTTTTTACTCCTTGCAAGCTCAGGAGTCGAATGGTGGTGGTGGTTGGACGTGAAAACCTGAGAACTCAGAATCTCAGATTTTGAGTACTGTTCATGCAGTCGTGATCGTGGAATTTTCAGCGGATTTTAAGGTTCTAGGAAGCTTTAGGACGTCTTCATGAAGCTCAAGGAAGAAAGTTGGAGTGTTTTGGACATCGGGAAGTCCCAGTTTGCGAGTTTCAAGTTTTGGCCGGATTATCGAGGTTTCTCCGGCCAGATCCCGTGGATTTTAGGGCTTAAAATTGGTAAGGTTTTGTTCTACTCGTTGTAAGCTTCATTTTGGTACAAATTTCATGAATTTTGGTTGAGAAATGAAGAAGATATTGAAGTTCTAAGATTTTCCAATTTCCAGCAATAACGGCGGCACCGGCGCCGGGCTCCGACGATCTAAGGAAGGAGGAGAAGAATATTCCGTCAAAGTTGACAGAATATTGTAACGTCGTCAGGTATAATTAACTGCATATTCTAGTTTTTAACGGAATATTCCCTAACGGTGTTAACTATTATGTCCCTTATGCCAGGCATGTGCCTGCGCGTGGGTGCTCAGAAAATTTTTCTAAGAATATGGGGATGTTCATGAGGTTGAGTAGGTCATGGTGGTATATTCAAACACCCCATTTGAGCATTGTATGAGAAGTTGTTTCCTAGTTTTGTGTATGTGCTTTAAATAACGTTTATTCAGTTATTTCGCATATAGGTGAGACCTATTCTGAGGACAAGTGCCATCAATCGAGGCTCGGGGGCTACGACCCTTCGACATACCAGTGAGTGGGCTTTTGGTTTTCCGTATATACCTATATACTTGAGATTTTTCCCAGAAAATGAATTTGAATGATTATACGTTTTGAAATGCCATGCAAAGCATCTACCTATTTTATTTATGCATTAGTAGTTGCATATATTTATGATTGGTGCTGCAGACGCACAGGTAAGTACCAGGTAAGTTCATAAATTAAAAATTTGAGATTGCTTCAGTTATGCAAGATATGATGTGATGTATTGAGAGCTCATAAACCTGCACCCCGGTGTTAGTGCTCCCGCCCAGAGTTAGGGCACAGTCATTCACGTGATGTTCACCTCCCGCACCATATGCTCACCTTGGATCCAAGTTAGATGCACAGGCTTGTCGTACATACCACTTTAGGTGGTTCTGACTCGTAGGTGACCCGCGATCATTTGCACAATCTTCACGTGATCATAGCCCTAGCGCATATTTATTTTACACCTAGTCTTGTCGTACATATCACTTTAGGTGGTTCCAACTTGTGTGCAAAATTTGATATGATTGAGATTGGTTATGAGCTATAGACTCAGCCGTGCAGGTCACATAGGTGGATTTGGCTGATATGATATCTGGCATTGATACATTTTAATTGGATTATTTATAGCATTTCATTGAGATACTTTGGCATGGTATATTTCTATGGACTTTCATCCTGAGCATGAATTTTGATATAGCATATATTATATTTTCTGGGAAATTATACAGGTTTTACGGCGAGAGGTTAGAACTTTTGAGAAATGAAATGATTTCAAAAAGCTTTGTTTTTGCCCACTCACACTTTCTGTTTTACACCCCTCCAGGTTTTAGGTAGAAGTGCTTTGGTGGTTCACGGGGATTTCAACGGTGGTTCTGACAGAACATCATAAATGTATGATCACCCTTGAGTGTTGTATAATTAGTACTTGTCCTGCTTGACTGCACTTAGGTTATTTATGCTCTGGT